TAGTTCGAGGACTTAATTGAGTGTTTGTAAAGTACGGAGACTAATCGACTTTTTCGGTATAGTATGGGGGCTTATTAGATAGTTTTCCCTTCTTTTAAATCTTTTCTTCACCCCTGCGCCTGGCTGGTTTCCTCCTCCCACCGTCTCCCAGACTGATTTTTCATTGCTTTTTGTTATTTCATTCTCTTTATTAATTTCCGTTTTTTTTTAATTTTTCTTTTTTTGTAATTCTTTCTATTTGTTCTTTCGTCCCCTTTTTAACTTTCTTTCTTTTGGGATATGTTTTAAGTGAACATTTTTAATCCTTAATGGTATAACGATCAACTTAAAAGTACATATCAGAACTTAAAAATTGTTCCATTCCTTTGATCGGAATTTTTTTAAAATCTGGTCGAATATGAAATTTTCTGATTTGATCTGGTCTGAACAGATGGTCAATTTTTTGTGACTGAGATATTTTTTCCCCGACTTTGAAATTCTCGATATATTATATTCTAAGTGTTGTGAAATTGACATTTTCTGTCCTTCAACTCGATTATGTCATGAAAATTACATGAATAAAAATCTACTAAAAAATTCTACTCCATATGAAAATTCTAATTTATATGAAATATTTTTGTTATTTTATATTTCGTAGAATTAGAAAAAACTTATAGAATAGTCATATTTAAAATATTAATACTAAAAATAAATAAATTTATACGTGTGAGCTCGACTAACCAATTTCCTACTTTTAAGTCCATCGTTGTATCATCAAGGATTAAAAATGTTCACTTTAAATATATCCCAAAAGAAAGAAAGTTAAAAAGGGGACAAAAGAACAAATAGAAAGAATAACAAAAATGAAAAATTAAAAAAAAGGAAATTAATAAAGAGAATGAAATGACAAAAAGCAATGAAATAAGAGTTCGGGAGAGGTGGGAGGAGGAAACCAGCCAGGTACAGGGGTGAAGAAAAAGATTTAATAAAAGAATAAGAGAGAATGAGAGGAAGAATCAGCCCGCAGGAAGGTGAACAAAAAGAAAAAAGGAAAAGAAATTATGGATGACTTGGTATTACAAGTAGAAGGGTAGAAGGGTTTAGGTGATACTTTTATTAGTAGAAGGGTTTAGGCGATAGTTTTATAATAGTACATGGACTTATTTGACTCTTTTTCCTAAAAGTAAAGTAGCCTCAGCTCATTTTAAAATTCACAAAGCAGTTTCTTCGCTTTTAGTTTTAGAAGTGAATATTTCTAAACTAAGATTAAACTAAGAGTAATATATCCCTACACAAAAGTAAATTATGATATCGTGATATATCATAATTTACTTTCGCGTGGTATATCATGATATCATACTTTTATTTTTTAGCATTGTGATAGTAAGATGACATAACTTTCAATACTTTCAAGATAAATACGAGTTTCAGATTGTTTTTACTCGATTTTTTAAGTATGTGGGTATATGTCTGTGTGCGTGTCATTTTAATTTGAATTGAAAATATGTTTAGCATTGTCTGATTTGTCTCTGTGAAAAAATATGTAATCCGTGTATTATTTCTCTCCATAAAGTTAAAATTAGTTTGAATTGTGGTTTATGCATGAATGTACGTAATCTTTCATATTGTTAATTGTTAAAGTAGCAAAGATTGTATCGTTCCCCTTTTATACTCCATCTCTAAAATCCAAAAGTAATCTAATTGCCTTAGACTCTTGGTCAAAACAAGGTTACTACTTTCTCTTGTCTTGGTTACGTAATACGGCAATACTACTCATCCCAACGAGGACCTGGTTAAGCACTTAAGCCATTAGTAAAACAAGATGATATTGCATCCTTGAGAGTCTCCAACACTGGCCATACAATTAATTGGAAGGATGTAAATTAGATTTAATTTGAATCACAAGTGACAAGTAACGAGTATATATTCTATACAGGTATTTGCAGAAGACATATTCATTTTTACATACTAACTTCTTACCGCAGTTATTGGAATTTGAATCTTAGACTTGCCCCTTGTCACCACATGTCTACTAGTTGAGCTATGCTCACCGACCTCATTAAGGCATTAGGGGTACTGAGTATTGCAAAAAAAGTAATACTACCTCCATTTTTTGTGATGCCGAGTATTGTTTTATTTTTTACAAAATAAAATTTTGAAAATCTAGAAAAGTATTTTATTTTTTTAGTTTCCAAAGTAAAAATTTAGAATGTTCGTAATCGGATCAATTTTAGTCTTGAACTAGACTAAGATAATACGAAGTACGTAGCATCAGACTTCATCAACAATTGTATGGTATACATAAAGCAGATATCTACTACTCCATACAACTCTATGAGAGACTAGATCATACTTAAACAGATCAAATTAGACGAGAAATATACAATACAACTAAAAACATCCCTACCATAAATATGACTATTGTTTTTTATTACTCCGTATAAAACATACGATAGTATATATCAAATGTTGTAATTTTTTAAATTAAATAAATACGGAGTATTATTATAGCAATACTCCATCAGTCCCTTAAAAAATTTTCCATTTTTAAATTTTTTGGTCAACTAAGTTAAACTTTGACTAATGATTTATTTTATAGGAAATGATTTATAGATATGAAAATTTTCTTTTTGAAAATACTTTCATAAAAATATAAATTATACTCCTTTTGTCCCAAATTGATTTGCTAAGTCAACTTTTTGGGTCAAACAGATTCATTTTATTCACTTAATTAAGATATTAATTTTTAATTATATTCTAATTTGGATATTGTAACTTTATTGAGATTTTAATGTAGTTTCTCATGAATATGTAAATTAATTATTAAATTGAACTACTTATATCAAGGAATATTTGGGTGTATATACAACTTTAAATATGTACAATTAAGTTTATGTCATACATTTGTCTAAATTAAACAAATACCATAACTAACTCATTCAAATGAATAAAAAACACACAGTTGCATAAAGAACTAAAATCATGTAACCTCACATTAGCTACAAAAGTGATATGCACTTAAAAAAACATAATATAGGTTATTAATTTGTCCTATCATATTTATTTAAGCTATATAGTCATTTAACCCAATTATCAATAGGGATGATTTAACTTTAACATTGGTTTACCAAAAAATATTGACTTGCAAATTAATTTGGGGCAAATTAATCAAAATCATTAGTCAAAGTGTAAAACCTTGAACTTAAAAAAAATACAGATGATAAAGTTTTAAAGGACATCTATGATTATGACTGTTCAGCTCATTATTATACTATAATAAGTAAAATTGTGGAGTATAAAATCTTTAGTATAACTAAGATTGGTTTATGTATGTATGTATGTACATAATACATATATAAAACAAAAATCAAGAACTGGGTCACATGAGACATCCCCAAAACATTATGCTACGTATTTATAAAGTACACAAAACTCATTGTTTTTCATTTTCCTTGCAATAAAACAAAATTCATTGTTTTTTATATTAATAAAACAATAAATGGAAAATGTGATACACCATAAGTCTCATTCTATTTTTAATCTTGCCGTGTTCGTCTGTTTCAAAGAAAGAGAAAAGAGGCCAACAACGAACTGTCAGCGATTCTGCAATACCCTCGAACCGAAGACTTTGCAAATACACCTCTCGACTCACTGAAGTAAAGCAATAAAGTCCTTTTTATCTATTGGTGTCACTAACTTCTCACGAGAAAGTTACTGTCTTAGTGGTACCAACCGTTGAAAAGGATCCAATTACTTTATTTCAATGGGTCGAGATGTGTATTTGCAAGTTCTTTTTGTTCAAGGATCTCAGACAACTAACGATGTGATTGATATGAAGTGTTTTCTTTTCACATCTATGCAAATTGTTATACGGAGTACGACATAGTTGTGCTTTTATAACAAATCAAGATGATAAGTTAATGAAATTTTATTAATTCAGGACCTGAAAGATATGTTTTTTTATCAATAAGGGACCTGAAAGATAAGCTTTCGATATATGAGCTAAATGATTGAAAACTATCAATCTAAGACCTAAAATATCATTGTTTTTGAATTATTTGATTTTGTATTAATTCCATGACTAATTTTTTATGACTCTTACTTACAAAAATGTATATAATATTTAAATTTTTTAAAATAAATAATATCAAAAGTCATGGTACTTTAGATCTTAGGCTGATAGTTTTGAATCATTCGAACCATATATCAACATATTTACTTTTGAGGTCCTGTATTGATTGTGAACTTATATTTCAGGTTCTGATAAAATTCTTTTTTTATATTTATTCTAGTAATATTCATCAAAAGGCCTTAACCTTGGTCATTGATCTTCATAAATGTAGAAAATAATTTTTTTTTAAAGGAAAAAGCATTTATTTTACTAAATAAATTAAACTTTGGTGTACAAAAAAGCTTGTCCTTTTGTACATAATAGGGCGCAATAGATTTAAAAAGTGCACCATATTTGAAATAAAATGTGAATAAATCAAGTCTTGTGTTGCGTAAATGGATTGTAAATGCACTTTTTCATTCATTGTTGCACAATTATGTTTCTCATAATTACATTGATGCCACCGATTTAAATGAGAAACTTATCCAACACAACCATTTCAAAGAATCGAAAATTTAGATTTACTCTTTTCTTATGTGATTGACATTTTTCACTTATTTGTGTTTGTAGACATAATAAGTGAGATAAACTAGATCTTCTAAATGCTTGTGGTAAGTGTTCTGCGATCCAAATAGAAAATTCTAATTTGATGACTTCTTAGTTGAAGACTTGAAGTGTTGAACTTTGATGGTTCTTCACTTCTTTGTACCTTTGGCATTTTTGATAGAATATTTATGGAGAAAAAAATAGTTTAAGTTGTGCTCGTGTTCATTTTGTATTCTTATAAATACACTTATTTGCATATAATGTATAACCATCAATACATTTATCCACATTAAAGTTTTCCTTAAAATGCATTATTTCTAATGAAAATTTCTCCACTCTTTACAGTTTACAGTGTGTTTACTGAAATGATACGTTTTTTAGAAAATTCTTTATTGCAGACAACTTTGGTTACACGACATTTCTACAGGTACAATTAAATGACTAATAACGAAAATGAGATTGAAAAAGTCTAATTAAAACATCCTTGTAAAGTTAGAAAAACTGACACACACATTACAACAATTGCGAAATTGCCATTATTGGATTCGAACAACTTATGTATAGTACTGTTCCAAATCCTCTACGAATATATACAGAACCAGCTAAGGGCTTACAACGAGGATTCATAGAACAAAACTTTAAAAAGTTTGTGCCATGAAAAGACCTCAGATCCCAAGAGTAAAAGAAAGCATTACTCTCTCAAACTCGAACTCCTATTCTTTGGGCAACCTGCAAAAACATACCTATTGTTACATCAATTTCAAAAAGGCAAAGTTTGTTAACTTTAAACGTAATAAAGAAAATAAAAGTATAAAACCCCAATAATAACAACAAGAGGGTAATACAATACTTTGACACTTGATATAGGGCATGCTTGGATTCTCAAAAGCACTTGGTAAAGGAAAGAAAATGCTCACGAAGTCATTTCCTCGTGTTTGGATTTACCATGGACATTGCCAAAGGAAAACGAGTTATGATGGGGGTGTTTGTTTTACAGCGTGTCACCCCAAACCGCTGTTTTTTTCGAAGGGAAACGCTGCCAAATGCAGTGTCTTTGCCCCAATCTGCTGAAAACCTAACAAACCCGATATCTTTTTTGAAACTTTGACTATGCTTACATTACTGGGCATTTATCTGACAGAAATGTTTAAAAATAATTTTCCACAGGCACTAAAAACAAATCGCGTTCAAAATAGTGTTATATTTTCCTCAACATTTTCTTTCTTCCAAATTTCTTGTAAACCTTCCTATTTTCTTTCCCTAGCTTTTTCTGCATTCCGAAAGGACTGTAAAAGTAGGAGTGTGAAGGAGAAAAAACATACCTCTTCGAAGGAGTGTACATCACTGCCCCAAAGCCATGCATCACAACCAGCATCTCTAGCCCCCCAAATGTCATTTCTACGATCATCTCCTACATGAACGGCATCCTCGGGATTTACTGCTAAAAAATCACAAGCTTTTAAGAATATTGTTGGATTTGGCTTCTCTGCTTCAACCTGCTCAAAAGAGGGGGAGGGGGAGATTCATGAACTGCCATATGAAAATATATAACCGGAAAGTAGAAATAAATAAACAGGCATTATTGTTTTACTTCAGCTGACACAGCCACAGCATCGAACCAGTGATCACAGTTTAGATCCCTCAACAAAGGTCGTAATCGTGTGTCGAAGTTTGAAACAACAGCTAGCTTTATCCCTGCATTTCTAAGAGCCCTAAATACCCTCTCTGCATTAGGATCACATATATGCCAAGCCTGTGAAGACAGTCAACTTGTTACGGAAACTACACTTTTTAGGGACTCGAACAACCAGTTTATAGGCAACATACATTTTGGGGATTATAAAACTATCAAGTTTCACAAAAGAGAACATCCTATTTTTTTCAGAAATTTAAGGGTAGATTTTGGTTTAGGAAAAAGCTAAGGGAAAAAATGCCAAGTATCAGAATTTATTTTCTCATGTTTTGTTTTACCTTGGAAAATACAAGGCAAGATGTAATTAATTATTTTTTAAAACATCACAACATAAATATAAATAAAAGTACATAAAACGAAAACAAACTATTGAGTTTGAGTCTATCAACTAATTCCCCTGATTTTTTTTCCTTCCCATGTTTCCCTATTCTCTTTCCCTGGTATATTCAGGGGTCCAAAAGGACACCCAGAGAATGACTCCTAAAATTTTATTTTGAAATAAAGCCAACCTTGTTAGTGGTATAATAGTTATACAACTCCTCAAAGTACTGAGAATTGGAACACCCAGTAGACGAACTGACTATATGCTGCCAGAATGGCCTCCCATCATTCACATATCTGCAAGCCAATATGTCAGGAAAACGTTCATATTCTTGTCCTTATGATATACACATGCCAGCACACAATTTATTTACTGAAGCATGGAAGTTTCTCTTTAAGGAGTAGGAAATGTTCTATATACGGGTAATGAAGAAATAACTAGGATTTCATTTTAGAATAAATGTCTTCTACTATATACTGAGGAAATGAATGAAGTAAGAAAATAAGATAATAATGTAAGAAAATAAGACAATTAAAGTGAAATATGAAGTACAAATGACATAAATAAGATATTACTCCAAATAAGGATTAAAACATTGGTCATGAGCATTAATAGGTGTACCCTTGTTTTGTGTTAAAAATATATTAATATGTGATTAATTCCACCCTTCAAAAAGAATAAAATGGTTAGCAATTCTTCTTGAATGAGTCCTATTTGAGAAAATGTAAAATCTAGCTTTTACTCATAAGCCATAATTATGATTTTTCAACTCATACAAACCCAATAAAAGTCCTATAATAACTACTAGTTGTTCATGTAATTATTATAATCTACATTTTATCCTTGTCAATATTTGATTGGCAACAGCTTAACTTTTGGATATCAAAATGCCAATCACGCATAGTACCAAAATTAGCTGGGTGATGACCATTAACTCTAAGAGCTGTTTGGTTAGATGATTTAGGAGAGAGTGGGAAAATGTTGAGTTTGGGGAGTTATCGGAAAGGAAGGGTAACGCGGAGGAGGTATAGAAACCACCAAATTCCTAATATACCACTCCCACAAATTGAGAAATATCGGTGTGGGGGTGGATTATGCAACACTAAAACCGTTATACATATGTATATATTAATACACATATATACCACAAAAACAATATCAAGTACAATTTTTTCAAAAAACTATTTATTCGCAGTCCATTGATATTTGTTAGAAATAATGACAAATGCATGACTAAAATAAAATAATGAACGGAAATGTGATTTTTATGCACCATGACCATATTAGAACCCACAATGACTGGTGGTTACAATGTGTTTCATTTTACATTGTAGTGACCATAATAGCATTTCTAAGTGACTGCAAACTGCAGTGACCATGAGTTGTATTTCTGAGTCAGTGCAGTAATACATTAGTCGATGAGTTCTATTTAAGCAATATTATAGGAAAACATCATTTTTTTAAACCATTCCTGTTTTCAATTCCTCCCTTTCCCTCATTCCTCTTACAAGGCCTAAGGGCCCCAATTCATAAAAGCATGACACGAAAATCATAAAACATCTCAACTAAATGGGACCAGTAAAAATGAAATAATCACATAAATGAATATAGCCATATTATGATCACATGAAGTCATGAAGAGCAACATTGACTAGAGAAATGTTCTATTCACCAGTCTTTTTATGTCACAATATGAAATTTGAGACATTCAGAACATAGCAAGTTCAATGAAAACGCATCAAAGAACGCTATGAAAAAGAAAACGAGTAACCTGAGTCTAGATCTACACCAAGGTTGCTCATAAGCCGTTCTGTATCTATTTAGTATCTCATCTTCAGAGTAATCCACCCCATATTTCTCCCCAATTTGCCTGTATATCTGAAAATTAAGGGAAAGAAAGAGAAGTCAATAAACAGAGTAATCAGAAAGACAAAACTACGCAAAATCACAATCCTACATAACTAAGAGAAAAACAATAAGCAGTAAGTTGAAGGCAAAGGATCAAACATGAAATACAAACAACTGTTTGCAAGCTAAACAGTTTTTAATCAGGTAGAGAAATGTAAAAAAGGAAAGTGGTTGCTATTAAAATCAATATGGTATGAAAACTTCAACAGCACCATTAACATGACAACATCATAAGCCCTAAATCATAGACGATGAGACAGTGGCTTCAAAAGAAAAAACAAAAGTAAGAGTATCAATTTTAAAGAAAAGCTTCATATCTCATATTTTCGGCAGCACAAAGAAACTCAGAAACACGCAACATTCTGAATTGTTAAACATTAAGGACCCTATGGGTCAGTTTGGAAGGAAAATACTAGAGAAGAGAATGGGGGGATTGGAGAAATTTGGAAAGAAAAAAACTGCTTTCCTAATATCTAATCAAACCCAATTTGCACCCTTCATACTGACTTATCATTGGCAATTCTTTCTAACCTATTATAGTATATGTTCTATGTTAAGGCCAACATCCTTGAACTGGGATGGGATTCGAAACTGTGACCTGACTGACCTCCTCCTTGGAAGTGCCACAATGATGTCATCAGACCACAAGGTACTTGGCACTTACTTATCACTTATATTAAAAAAAAGTATTAAATCATCAATTTGACATTTAATGCCCCTAATATGGAAATTAAAGCAATGTCTCAAACTGCACAGATTTTCTTTTATTTGTTTGAATTCATATTTATTTGTATACTCCATGTGACGGACCGTAATTCCTATAGTATGAACGCAAAAGAATCTAAATGTATGAGCATATTTCTAAAACATCAATAGTAATACATTTTCCTTATCATTTAATCATTTATTCATTTTCTTTTCTCCGAAAGTATTATCAGGGATTTGGAAATAGCATATACATCTATGTTATTCAACTCAACAAAGAAAATAAATACTGAGTAGCACTCTCTAGGAGTGCACGAAATAATAACAAATGGAGGTAATAAAAACAACAATTCTTATAATAACAATTATGATAGTAATAATTATAATAGTAATAGTACATTATTAAGTTATTATTAATTCAAAGAAATAAAAAGAAAATGAGATAAGGTGAGAAACCAGCCTGAGCCATAGGCTGAGAGGGCACAACGAGAGTGCCTGCTACATCAACAAGGAGGGCCTTATGAGTCAGCCCGCCATACATAGCCCGCCGGTAATCCTCGTAATCCTTGAGCAACCCGAAGATCTTGTCCGGCGACTCCTCCACGGCCTTAGTCGTTGCAGAGGTCGAAAATGACGGCCCAGAATTCCCACACGAGTAGGGTTGAGCCAACCCGAATCCAAAGGGCCGCGCTTTGGGTCTACGGGCCATGCGGGTCATCGTTCGGGTAATCCTCGTCGCCATTACAGCCATCTTTGGAAGGCACATATACTCATTGCATCATTGCTTGCATATATCTTATAGATAGAGTAGAACAGAGTGTTTACTTTAACAAACAGTAATCCGTACTCAATCGTGATGATATGAATTATTTTGTCGATGAAAGTTTCATGAATTGTGGATTTTTATCTACAGGGACAGGTGGAGTGTGAGTATTGGCGTATTGCTATCTCTGGCCTTCCGTGTGGGTTTTGGGATATTTGGGAGAGTCCAAAGTGGAAGGGAAGTAGCAAAACGAGGACGACGAAAGGAAGTGGATCAGGTGATTGTTCGTAGGTGGGGGATGCTTAATTGTCGGTCTGCACTAATTGGTCCAACATTGTGTTGAATTTGGTAGAGATCTAATATATGTTCAATTTACTAGTATTTCAATTTGATTTAAATTTGATATAAAGCCCGTTTGGTAACACTCAAATCGGATCAATCGGCTGATCCTGCTGAAATTTATGAAGTTCTGACTTGACTGTATTGGCTGATTTTGTTGATTTATGAAAAAATTAAATTTAAAATATATTTTATTAATAAAATAAAGAAAAAAAGTATATGTGCAAATTGCTAAAATAGACCTCTATAGTAACTCCAATCTTACTTTTTCTTATTATTACACATTTCAGCGCGCGAAATCAAAAGTTATGTATTTGATGAAAAAGTTGACTGATAAACTGAATAACAGTGTTACCAAACGGGCTCATAGTGTACCTTGATATATGTATTTATATTTTTATCAGAAAACTCATGCTTGGAAGGATGATCTGCAAACTCAGTCCCGTTATTATGATCCATTGTAATACTTCGTCTCATACTACTTAAAGAGTAAGAATGGTAATTGTTAGATTCGTTACACATATGTTACACTCATTGTGATATGCCATATGAGCATAGATGTAATACAACTTTTCTTTTTAATATTATTTTCTTTCCAGTTTTAGCGTGTCAAAATTTATTTACTTATTTACGATTAAATAATTATTAGTTTCATATTGTATTTTGTTGTGTTAGCGGTTTGACAATGAAACCCATTAATTAATTGTTAAATATCGCAAATTATACCGTACGACCGGTATACCAAGCGCATGGTATACCGGTCCCAATACGGTGCCGTATTAATAAGTAAAAATCGTCCAATTCATCTTTTCTTCTTCGCCGACCTCTCCTCCTAGCTTGATTTCGCAGGGATCGTCCTTCTATTTCACAGGGATTGTCCTCCGATGCATTTACTCTTCTTCTCCTTCATCCCCTCCGCCGCTGCTGCAGGATTGAAACGGCGGCAACTCGGGCTTAAGGGGGTGACCAGGACACTCTCCGGCTGTAGTCCAGCATAGATCCCTCACTGAAATATTGGATGTGATTCTGATTTTTGAGAGATTGGAGTGAATCCTTGTTAGCACGATACAAATTAATTAGCTTTGCTTCTACCGACTAATAAAAGTTTTATGCTTCTGTGTTTTAATGATGATGATAATGATGACTGACCTAAGCTCTGACAATTTTAACAACTTTACTCACTATTATTCTATCTATTAAGAAATGTTGTGACAGCCTATGGAATTTACATTCTCAGCTGAGGAACTTTTTATTTATGTTGTGTAGGGGGAGAAAAGAATAGGTGTAATGCATAACATATTTGCTGTGATTAGGCCCTCCAATTGTTGCAACTCCATCAACAAATAGCAACCATTTATTCATTAATTACTCTGCTATATAGTTGCCTTGCTGATAATATAGAGTTACATTTCACATATAGTGGTATTACATTTCGATTTGGCTAAAGTTACATTTTGTAACCCACGATTTACATTTCAATTTTTCTCAATAAATTACATCTTGTTTACATGTGATTTACATTTTAATGTACGCGAGTTACATCATAAAACTATGCAAGTTACACAACAAAATAAACCTCTGTTTTTCAATCAAAAATGATTTTATTATTAAAAATCATTTTTAATGGATCTAATATTAAAAACAAAAACATATGCACTATTTATGTAAAATAATTGGACAATTAAACTCCTTTTTGCATTAAACATGAGTTACATTTCATAGCACAAGTTACATATGTTGTTAAGTGAAGTTATATTTGTAGCAACACGAGTTACATCTAATTATGCACAAGTTACATCATTCATGCTACTGAGATGAAAAAAATATTGTACACGCGTGTACTGTTCATGCTTTTTTTTAATTTGATCAAAATTACGTCGCTTTGGGGTGTGGAGCATGGTGCTCACCATGCTCCGGTTGCATAGTATAGGTATTGGTTAAATATAGTTGTTGAGGTTTATTCCTTCAACTTTTGGGTCCAACACGTAAGTCCAAAGATTTCGAGTGGAGTGGTGTATGTGTGTATGAATAAACTGGCCCAACAAACAAGTAAGATGGATTAAGAGACGATAAATAGCAAGTAAAAGATCAAGTATTATTAATCAGTCAATAACTCCCCAATACAATACGCTTGCTAAGGCTCGGTGGCTGTTCGTCTTACAAATTAGTAGATGAGCTGCGAGTAAGAGCTAGGTATAAACTAGAGTGCTAAGGCAAATAAATTGTCAACTCTTTACAATTAAATAAATGTTATTATTTATACCACCAGTGAGCAGTTAGCTATGCTAATGTGGAAGCCTGTGAGTGGCTGATGCCTCAACCACCAAATCTCTAGCATTAAATGATCAAACATAACGATTTAGGGAAGTTTAGCTTGAGATTGTATAACAACATGAATTAATGATCAAACATAACAGTTTAGGGAATGTTTCACACTTAAATGAACAGAACAAAAGAAAGGGAATTAGCACACCCCCACATATCTTCAAAAAAAAAGGTATTACAACCAACAATTGTAATGATGACTTCACTTCACCTCATGTGGGTTGATAGATTCCGATGAAAGGCATCAACACCGAGCCAATCCACAACTTCCCCTCCCCGTTTTCCTCCACTTCACTTATGAACTTCAAGGTTTTCCCTTCAATGTCCTCTAACACCTCCATGACTTTCCCGTCTTCCCCGAGCTTCATAGCAGACGCATGAGGCTTCCCTACCAGTAAGTAGTGCAATTGCTTAAAGCTCAATGGAAGCTTTAACATTGTTCTCCCGATCAATGGATATGACACGAACAAGTCAGCGAGAAGTCCTCTTTTTGAATGCAAAGCAACCCAGAATTCTCCTCTTGAATTCCTCCTTATGTTGTCTGGAAATCCCGGCAAGACAGAAAAGATGTCGTGCTTTCCAGCATTGGCTCCTTTAAGCCAATATCTTAACACCTTACCGGTAGTGGTCTCATCTACAAGCACAAAAGATCCATTTTTGCTCAATGCTACCCCGTTGGAAAAAGCAATGCCTTCCATTAGAACTGTCACTTCTTTGCTTGTTATGTTGTATTTGATCAGCCTTCCCGTCTTGTCTCCACTTAAGATCGATGTCATAAATTGCCTAAATATTATGAATTATGAGATCATAAATCCATTTCTGAATGCATATGATAAACTAATCTCATACAAGTCATAGTATACAAATACAGCCTAACTAAGCTTTTGGTTACTCCTACAAGTTGGACAATGATAGGACCTCAATTATTAAATCATAATAATCTCAATTAAAGTCAAACTAGCAACAGATCCAACTAAGGCTAAAAAAAGTACCAATTTAATTTAATTTGTTAGTTCAAACAAGTCACATATAGTGGATTATGTTTAAGAATCATATACCATGCTAGGATGCTGCCATCCTTATATAAAGATAATTGTCATCCTTATATAGAGATAAAAAGCCACATAAGAATATTTATGTTACTTGTATCAGGTTGACTTTTATGATGAAAATTATAACTCTTAAATCTAAGAAAAATCACAAACAATAAAAAACGAACCTGGGTGTAACAATGAAGTTCGGAAAGGGAGCAAAGAACTTACCTGCGCTGAAACCTTGTGCTTGTATCAGTGAAGTAAATGATATCTTCATCCTCATCTATGTCCATATCATTGGTAAAGAGAAGAGTTTGTCCATCAACTTCTTTAACCAGCGGTGTGGATAGTCCTCCGGTAGGCCCAACGACATTAAGGCCCAAGTAAGCATCAGCAATATATAGGTCTCCAGTTTTCTTATCAAACCTTAAGCCCAGTGGCCTCCCACATATGTGCTCTAGTTCAGGAGCGAATGGGAGCACACAATCCTTCCTAGTGATAATAAAAGTCATTTTTTCATTTTCAAAGAAACGAATAACATCAAATCATTAATAATACTATAATTAACCATAGATTTGTTCTTAGTATGAGCAAAATTAATTTCAGATATAGTTGTCATGGTGTATGGCAACCGTCATGACTGCCAAGGCATCTTTTCCGTGACGATGACAACCGCTATTTACGACGTCGGCACATGACACAAAAATTAACTACTAAACATATTAACTACAAGATATAAATGAATAAATCTATAACTCAACCACCAAAAATGGAGCGAAAGAAGTTGATTAACCACATTTTAAACAATATATGTCAAGTTAAAACAATTTAAAGTAGTTCTTGAAATAACTAAAATGGGCATCCAAAATATGTTAACTTGTTGTTCAGGTGCAATGACTATGATTTAGTTATCACGCTCCTTCAGTAGTTTCCTTTCCGCCGTTACCTTTTTAGTCGTGCTCAGTTTTCTCGGAGAGAAACATTAATTGGACAACATTTGTCATTTTTCTAGATTCCATTCTACGTTAACGAGTTGGCGCATATTTTAAACATGTTCAAAATATTGAGCAAAATATGGTGGCACATATGCAAATATGCAATGGCGAAGCCACAATTGTGCGGTTAGGGAGTCGGACTTGAAATTTTACTCTAGGGTCAAAGTTTAGAATATTACTACTCTCTTTGTATATTAAAATTTGCTGCACTTTCCCTTCCAAGATGTGTTTAAAATTTGTTACATTTTCTCTTTTTGTTAACTTTTTCCTTTACAAATACACCTTGTTACTATTTATCTTATCTCTCATACTTTTCTACCTCTCTCCTACTTTTTCTTCTCAATGCGGACCCTCGAATATCTGTCCCAAATTGTGGATGTATTCATAACAATCTATGCACCACATCAACCCAAAGTCTACATACGGTCTCAGTAACTGCCCGACCCTAGATCGGTAGACCTGTCAGTACAGCCACAGCTCCCAATTTGATCGTCACCTCACCCACTGGTAAATCAAAAATGTGAGTCTCATGTCTCCAACGCTCAAGTAGAGCGGTAAGTAATGATCTATCTAAATATAGAGTTGAAACTAATTTTTGAACACCATGAAAACCAGCTAATCAAACGTAATGTAAAATCCTGACGTCCACCTGCATGTGGAATATAGTGCGTAGGTGCTCACGACGCCTATCTACCTGAACATCCAGGCCACACAACACATTCTCGCTCTTGTGTGTGGCCTGCAATGTTAGGACTGAAGGATCAATCGGTCCCATCCACGAATCATTACCAGTCTAGCTCAGTCGCTCTTCATATGACGGCAAACATTATATTCACTAAAATCGCTTTATTTATTTATTCATGTGTTTTTCATTAATAACAATGCTTTCTTTACAGACACAGGTTTGCATATCGTCCATGACAGAGCGACTGTTGTACTTGATGAGACGGTAGATGTAGAGGGATATCATGAGGTATGCTTAGACATTGTTGCACTATGTGTTGATGTATTGGGCCGAGTACGTAGACTGTGGATATATGGACGCCTCTCAGTATTTCACGACATCTGCATCCACAGCAGGGTCTTCTCAAGCACAACGATGTGATAGAGTTGTTCTTCAACCTCGTAACCAGCGCAGACGCCCCCGACCACAAGCACAACCACAACCACAACCACATGAGCTTTATGATGATGGTCATGTTGACTTGTGATATTTGTACTTTACATTATTGTGTGATCCAATGTAGTTTCATTGATTCGTTTTGTGTCTCGATTACGGTTATGTACATGTCTGCCCCACTACCCCCCACTTACCCGTCCCGTTTGTTTTTAGTTATATTTTTATACATTTTTATAATTTTATCTATTATTTGTCCCACAACTACTAAAAGATGAGAGTTATCTCTTTCAGTGTGTGTATATATGAATAATAAATGTATTAATTATAGTGTATGAATGAAAGTTCATAATAGATTTTAATAGCTTTGTTTGATTATTATCAGATTTTTTTTGTGATTAATTATTTTTCAGATCAAGTATTTTCAAGTTCAAATTAGTTTAGGTTGCCTTTTTTCTCGTCATGTAGATGTACGAATTATTAAAGCGGCGTCTGAAAGCGGCAATGCCATTTCATCTTTCAAAATATTTTTTATGTCAAAATATCAATAACTCATCTAATAAAGCGGTTACCTGTGGTTACTCCCGGTTATCCACGATTATACTGGTTGGGACGGTTATGGTTTGAGTAAAAATTACTTATTGGATAATGGGGCGTTTACGGGGCGGGGAAGTAACCCAACAGGGCAGGTATGGTTATATGTAAAACTGTCTCCGATCTGCCCCGTTGTCATCCCTAACGAGCATACTAAAAAATATTTGCTTGGGGTGGTTGGACGACATTTATTATTTCTTATATTTATAATAAGAAATTTAATACTATTTCCTTCCTATATTGAATGCCTTGTTTTAGTTTGGCACGATTATTAATAAAGTGGTTGAAAAATAAAAGTTGTGATTGAGATTTGAGTTGAATAAAGTGAAATGATATGGAACACATTTTTCTTGCCAAAAAAAGGAAACATAACATTCATTTTGGGATAATATAGAAAAGAAAATAAGATAACCAAAATGGGACGCACGAAGTATTACAATAATAAAAATAATATTAAATGAAGAGCATAATGATAATGCTTTCATATTTTAAAGTTTGATGTACTTTTTTAGGATGTATTAAGAAATTTGATTTAATCCCCCCCCCCCCCGATATGTTTTCCTAACTTTGATGTTGGACTTTGCCAACTTTCTTTTTTGTTTGTCTCAAACAACTTTGTCACTTTACTTTTAAAAGTACTAAATTTGTGGTTCTGTTCATTTCTCTTTCATCTGAACAGTTTTTACGATTCCAATTTCACACCCAACATCAAATTGGCAAAGTTGAGTGGGACGAAGTTATTACTAATTACTCTTATTTTTTTTATTTTTTATGTTCTCTTTCATATTTTTCCACTATAATTCCTTTTTCTACACTATCTATTACTCCTATTATTTCCTACTTAAATAATGTACCAAAGCTAATGTAGTCATATTTAAAGTACGAAAGATGTATAATTAATCACTTTTCTGAAAAAACCCAAAAAAAGTCATATTTTATCTTTTATGTATACTTTAGTACTCCCTTCGTCCCCTTATTATAGGGATGGAAGGGAGTGTCACGCCAACCAAGACAAATACAATTTTTTGATAAAGTAACCAATCAAAAGGCAAAAAACCAACCCTACTAAAGTAGATCCCTATTATCCCGTCATTAAATTCACTTTTTACTTTCCAAATAAGGTATGCAATAATAATAGTGAGACATCCAAAAATGAAAAAAATGGACAATTATAAGGGGACGTATGGAGTCATCACTACCCCAGTGCCGCAAAAGCTCCCAACTATGATAAGGTTAGGCATGGTCGGATGTATGCAGTCTTACTAATATTGAAGATTTGAAGGAGAAAGTTCAAATATCGAAAACCACAAATTAAATGATTAAAAGGGAAATGACAGTTTTGGAACATCATAAAAATAAAAGATAGGAAAGTCTTAAGAAATGCGAGGAGTATTTTAATAGGAAAGTGGGTAAAGTTTTTAGTGACAAAAAAAAGGCAAAGTTGGGGATGTAGTAACACGTAATGGTCATACTAAAAAGTCAAATTGCTTTGTAAAGTCTTGTTCAACAATAATTTTATTTTTTTGAGGAATAAAAAAAATCACCTTTGGGAAGAGGTTACAGCGAAGTCAACCCAACGGCCAGCACTTCTTCCATCCGCATCCACTTCCCACTTGAGAATCCGACCGTCAGCAACGCCGGTGTAGGGCCCATCTCCGGTCGGGTCAAATGCAATACTCTCCGGTCCAAGGGAGCCGTCGACGTGGAGGACATCGGCCGTGTGGAAGAGGTTTTGGGAGCCCGGGATGGTGGGCGGGGCAAACAAATCCTTTAACCGGAAAGCCAAGAAGATGGAGAGCACCGCTAGCGCGGCGGCGATTCTGATGATCCTAGATTCACTCAATTTCATTTTTTTGTTGCTTCTTAAGAAATGAAAATAATTGAACAATTGGAGATTGTAAGGCCTAAATTAAATCAAATGACATTATCACTTTTCCTCAGTCTGTTACTCTGTATGTAATCGTATGCTGGTAAAATAATTACCCGGGAGACAAAAAAGTGGAGAATGCATTGAAATACAATGACATGGAATCATGAGATTACCTATTTTAATTTTGACATATCTTATTCAAAAATGATAGTTTTACTCACTCTTATAATCACTTTTGTACTCACTTATATGTTTGTGAAGTATTTTTTTCTGTGAACCCCGGTTCACAGACAACATTTTGCACAAACAAAATATTGTCTGTGAATCGGGTTCACAGACAAAAAAACACTTCACAAACATGGTGGGTATAACTGTATAAGAGTGGGTACATCAAACATTGTTGTATCTTATTTCTTATGTGTTGCAATTTTGTTACATTTTTCTAAAGCAATTAACTTTTACTTATTATTACAACGTAGCATGTTTTTACTTGGACTGTTTTTAGTCCCATATCAGATCAGATCACACCTTATCAATCAAATCAGATTAGACCAGATCATACCAGATTTGGACAATTATAAAATACAGAGAGACCAGATATTTACCCGGCCAGACCAGTTCAGACCAGACCAGATCAATTCAAACCAGATATTTTCGGCTTTTGGCTGAAAACCACTTTCTACTTTTTCTATTACACAAAAAACACATATTTTACCAAACATTACCAACTTTTACATTTCAAAATCACTTTTTTCTCAAACACTATCAACTTTTATTATTAATCATTTTTTTTTCAAAATCACTTCAAAAAGTGTTTTTTTAAGCAAAGGTATTTGCAAACAGTCTCTTAATATCAAAGAAACGAGCATCCCCGCAGCCACAATAAACCAAGTCTCCCAATGAGACTCCGTATAGCCAAAAGGCTCTCCCGCTTCCTGATTAGACACAAAATAGACCACCCCAATTTTGAGCGCGACTAATTGCTAATCATGCGAGAGTTTCGAAGCTTTTAACGGCCAACCAAGCCTTATCGTTTCTACCTAACAAACCAACATGGAAAGAAACGTCAAAAATAAAACACCTCCCTCTATTGTCCAAAAAAAATGAAAACAAGGTCTTTAAAGAAAAAAAAAACAATAGGAGTAGCGTGTCTTGTAAACTCCCACTCCCCCACACTATCTTCCTGATCTTCCTTCGAGCTTCCATCTCTAACTCTAGCAATCTCCTTGCCTTCGCTTCAGAATTCTTGGCGAGCCGATTCGTCCCAACTTGCCTCCTTCCAATTTTTTGGCTCGATTAGTTCATCTTTCAACCTTGCATTTCCTTTTGAAACCATATTCGTAACTCCAAGTAATTTTGATTTCACGCGTATGAAGGAGATTCATTGTTGGTCTGTAATTTGAATCTATCGACAACCCTCCATCAGTGACCTGTTCTTCGGCTGTCTATTCACCGCTGTTTGATCTCCGCCCTTTACGGCCAAATGCCAACCCAATGAATCGACCAAAACAATGGCCACGACCCCCCCCCCCCCGACAGCCAATTGGAGCCCCAATTCACCCCTTCCTCCGAACTCCAAACCGCCGGTGATCCACCCGGATCAACCGATGCTTTTTCCTAATAATTGAACCTTACATATTTAGAAACTACATGAATGTAATACTGAAAACTTAATACTTAATACAAACACTACAAAAAGATAAGAGTTTTGGCACATATTAGTCACATATTGGTATAACTTTTTTATGCATTTGTGCCAATTATCTTGAGACAAAGCGATTGCTACACGATTTTATCATAAATTTGGCACAGGTTCACGCATTCTTGTGAATTTCATGCAAAAGTTCATTTCCATAGTATCACGAAAAAACTAGCACCAAGGTCGTGATAAAAAATTTTGCTAATGTGTCACAAACTTGTGTCAAACCATCATTGTTTTTTATATTGGAATATGTTAAAATTTGGATATGGAAAATTATATATGGAGTATTAAAGTTGAGTTGTGTTGAAGATATGAAGAGTGACATGGGTTGAATATCACTTTGAGTCAATGGTAGTATTATATTTCGAACTAGTATAAATAAAATATACACAACACCTTGCCGGGTTGGACACAGTCCTAGTTTTGAACGATAATTTAGATAATTAGGGCATGTTTACTAACAGAGATATTTTCCAGTTTTATGTTTCTGTTTTATGTTCTCCAATTTTATGTTTTCATTTTTCAATTTTTCTATCTCCAACCTTTTGCTTTCATTTTTTAGTTTTTCATTTTCAAGTTTGGAAACATGTTCTGATGTTCATACAATTTTTTTACCCGGTTCAATGACCGACCAAAAGATCGAAAGTACGGTCCCAGCCCTGAACCGAACCTAGTACAACCCAAGTAGGGTACTGGGTTCCACATATAGGAAAGTCGTGACTGAAACCGGCCGGTCCCAGTCGATCTCAACAATTAGTTTGATGAATTCTTTTCTCATTTCCCTATTGATTGACAACTCAATGGTTCTTTTAAAACTCTTCACTTTAAAAAGAGATTTTGAAAAATCATGACTGAACCGCGGAGTCATTGACCGTCGGGTAGTTTATGAGACTAGCCCGAGACTGCCCGATTGCCGATTGGACCTAACACAAACCGTCGAGTCATTTGCCAAACAAGATGGGGACCGCCGGTCATTGATCAGACAGGATGGGGACCATAGGGTGGTTGACCAGACCGGACGGGGACCGCCTGGTCATTGACCGGACCGGACGAGGAACGCCGAGTCGCTGACTAGACCGGATTGGACCGGGACTGCTCAGCCGTCAATCGGACCGAACAAATACCGCCTGGTCGTGGTTAGGGCCGGGCATGGACCGTCGTGGACCGGGTCGGACAAGGGCCGCCGGGTCGTGGACCGGGCCGGACAGGGACCGCCGAGTCGCCGACCGGACCGGGACCGTCGAGTCGTCGACCGAACTGGATTGGGATTGCTCGCCCATCGACCTAACCAAACCAGACCCATTGGGTCAATGATCGAACCGGACCGCCGGATCGTTAACGAGACCAGATAAGGATAGTCGGGTCATTGATCAGGTCGGACTTGAATTGACACCGGAGTGGGACCGGTTCCAACATTAGGCGTAAGTATGCAAATTCATTGTCACGGCATTGCACCATCCGCGTTTTCCAAATTTGGAAAACTAGTAAAAATCACTTCTCCAATTAATTAAGGAAAACAAAGACATATATCACTTTTTTGGTTTTGGTAAACGCAATTTTATGTTTTCTCTTGTTTTCCAGCAATTTTTTTTGTGAACACGTTTTCTGCTTTTCTTTTTCCAGTTTCCAGATTTATGAAAAATTGGAAAATATCTCTGTTAGTAAACAGACTCATTGGTTTTTATGACACAAATGATACAATTTTAGTTAGCGTACACATAACGTGTTATTAAATAAACTAGTTATTTACACGCGCGATGCGCGATTAGGTGAATGCCCAATGTGTTTTTGTTGAAAAATAAATAATATGGAGTAATATATTGATTTGATATCTGATTCGTTTTAGGAATTAACATGAATAAGAAACACATTCCATTATATACACAAAGATTGGTAAATAACATTTTCAATACAAGAGACCAAAACTGGTTCCTAGTTTCAAGTTGTCCATCTTCTCCCCTGCATCATAAAGAGATTTAAAAAGATATGAACATGAGTATAACAATATCCTTTTACCTTTTCATAAAATCACAAATATTAAATTTATCTTTTAGAATAAGATATTGCACCTGAAAAAGAATAAACATAAATGACTTAAGAAGACAAATAGCTATTAATTGAGAGATGTAATGTTTTTTTATGAATAGACTCCACTATAAGAATACATAGAGATTAGCTTAAAACGATCGAAGTGTACATATTGGACTGAAAATCAATCCGGCGGTGAAAAGAACCAGACACTATATGTTTAATTGTGATGAAATAATTAGGGGGCGTGGAGATTTGCCGCCTTTTTAAGTAAGTCACCAACATCCCTGCATGTTCGTCAATCAACTCTTCCCCTGAACTCGGCTTTCAACTTTGCATTTGGAAGCTAATTTTATACTATGTAACTCTTTAGCAAGCTGTGAACTTAAAGTTTGATATATTAAATACTCCACGAAATAGAACTGAAAGAACAATAATAGTAAATTCAGGTGTTTACCATTAAATATGTTATGACTTAGGATGTTTTCTTTTGGATTGAAATTTGCTAGTCTGGTCTGGTCTGGTCTGATCTCGTCTGGTCTGGTCTGGTCAGGTCTGGTCTGGTCTGGTCTGGTAAACGTCTGGTCTCTGTGTATTTTATAACTACGGAAGTCTGGTCTGGTCTGGTCTGATCTGGTCTGGTCTGGGACTGAAAACAGTCCAAAAGAAAACATCCTTATGATGTATTCATCGTTACCTCTGTAATGTTTGTATAGCGAATTAGGCAGTCGGTACAACGATGGACGCATGAACTATTATTAAAATTTGTGAGACAAATGAATACCTCCTCGTAGAGAGAAACATTGCTTTAAATGCACAAGTAGACATTTTAATAATGAAAGGATTAAATATACCATTTCATTTTTAAAAGGAAAAGATAAAAGTCAGAATACAAAGGGAAAATGGAAACTAATAATCCAACCTTTTAGCGGTCTTCTTTTAATAGTCCCACCTTTTCGTTATTCATGAATAATCCAACTTTTGCGCCTCATCTTCATTCACTGGTCCCTGACCAGTTGATGACCTGTTATTCCAAGTTATTTTCTTATCTTTGCAAAATATTATCTTTGTGAAAGGTGGAATTTATGGTATAATAGTTTGCAGAGATAAGAAAATAACTCGGAATAGCAGATCATCAACCGGTCGGGGACCAATGAATGAAGATGAGGTGCAAAGGTTGGATTATTCATGAATAACGAAAAGGTCGGACTATTAAAAGAAGATCGCTAAAAGGTTGGATTATTAATTTCCATTTTCTCGAATACAAATAAGGTGAGCAATAAGTATAAAAATACAGCGAGAATTGATAATTTCCAAAATATAGCAGATGTGACTGGGAGATCTACTATCTATTTGTAGCCGAATTATTTTAACGTCATAAAACATATTCTTTTTTAACCCATGAGAAAATATGAACACAAATGATTTGAGT